CTCCACATAAAATTTTTGATATTATTGATAATTGCGAGTTTCTAGGTTATCTTCACATATGCTGAATTTGAGCTTGGTAGTTATAATCCCCAAAGAGCCCCTACTGGATTTAGACAAAATTACCTCATAAGCTAATTTCACAAAAAACGCCCCTGACCTATTCCAGTGCCACACTAATTTTTCCTTCATCCCTTTATGATTAGGGAGAATTCTTAGGATAGCTTGAGCAGTTTATTGATCAAAAGACTGAATAACTAACTCTCTATCATAACTCTTACTCTTATGACACTAGATCACACACTATTTTTAATCTTAACTTATCCATATGATAATGGCAAGAGGGTTTGAAAGACTGAATGTTAGGAATCCAGAGAGAATCCCAAATGTCAACTGATCTACCATCCTCAATCTTATATCTAGTCCATAACCCCAAAGACTTTCTAGCAGAAAACCATCTTTTATAGAGCCAAGAATCTCCATTTTTAGTTTTATGTGCATGAGCTTTTGATAAGCAAAGTTTGTACCCTTAAGAACCCAACTTATAAGAAGGTTGGGTTTGGTTATCGCTCTCTAAAGTTGTTTCGCTATTAGAGGCAAATTGATGGCTTTCAAATCCTTGAAACCTAACCCCCTCCCCCCTCATCCCTTTCTCTTTTGGCTTTGCTAGCGTATCCATCTAGCCCAATACACCTTATTTCATGCGCGAGCTCATTTTGTTCTTTTTTTTTCACGAGCTATAATAATCCTTAGTCAATATGATATTTTCAGTTCATACGAGGCTTCAATTTGAAGTGCAATTTTCTGCGTATTTTTTATTTATTCATTTATTTATTTTTTGCTACTTTTTTCGGCAGGAGCATGCCGTCCATCAGCAGTTTGATGGTCATCTTTAGTTTTTAACAGACAATGGACGATTGACAAAAAAATGACTAACAAGGAAATGTGAGGTGCCAGTGGGCAAGGTGACCGTATTCTCTCATAGGAGCGAGCGATTCTTTCACAGGGGAGTGAGAGATTCTCTTTTTGAAGAGTTTCATTCCATCGCGGGGTGGGTAGATCGATCTAGGAGTTGTGTTTTCCTCTTCAGAGTGTGGGTTTGTGTGTGTCATTTGGAATTTAGGTTTATAGGGTTCCTTTCTATTTGGGGGTTAGGGTTCTTCCTCTCGTTTTCTCTCTTTCTTTTCCTTGTTTTTCTCTCTTTCTCTTTTTCAATTTCAGGTTTAGGCTACGCTGGCGGGCTTGATGGAATTCGACTTGACTGGGGCAGTGGGGACCAAAGGGGAGACGGAGGATATTGGGAATCTTCTGCAAAACATAGCATTGTCGGAATCAGAGAGCTGTTTTATTAATCTGAAAAATGATGATATTAAGATTACCGAAGCTGAGTGCAAGAAAAGTCTTTTCGATAAAATCATCGGAGATTGACGCACAAGCTTGGTTGGTATCAAGAGGGCTATGGGAGCTATTTGGCACATCCAACACCCAATGGAGGTCAAAGAGCTGAAAACCAACTTTTTTCAGTTCATATTTGGTAGTCTTGCCGACAAAAAAAAAGTCCTATCTGCCACCAACTGAGGTTTACGAAAATCAATACCTTATTTTAGGTGAATGGGAGGAAGGTCTAACAGAATGGCATAGCAAATTCTCAGAACTCAGAATTTGGGTTCAAGTAAATGGTGTGCCAATCAATTGGCTCAGCTCAGATGTGGGATTGACGATAGGCACGATGTTCAAGCAAACTCAGAATGTATCAGTGGTTAAGGCCGGAGGAGAAAGAGGAAGCTTCTCCAGACTCTTAGTTGTGGTGGATGTAACTAAGTCGTTGCCACATATAGCTTCCTTGCAATTGAATAATACGCAGGTGAGAGCCAGGTTTCAATATGAAAAACTGATCAACACATATTATTACTGCGAAATCATTGGGAACTTGGAGAGAAATTGCAGCAAACGGATGGGAGATATTGCGAAAGGGACTCTAAAAGATGGGCAATACGGGGACTGACTAAGGGCTATGGACAACAATGTCGGCTATAAATCTCATACCTCAAACTTCAGTTCAGGCAGTCAATACACAAAATCTCACAGCAAAGAACCAGAATATAGCCCAGGAGACAAAGGAGATACACCAGTCAACAAATCAGTAAGGAGTGAGGTTCAGGATCAAAGGGGCAAGGGTCCAAATGTTGCTGACAACACTGACAATATAGAAGTGGCTGAGATGCAATCAACTTGGCAGTAGTACAATCTAGCTATTATACCCAGTCTGGCTAACAATGACACTGAGTCTTAACAGGCTACAATTCCAGAGCAGGTACCAGTTTCTAAAAAGAAAGAAGGTCAGGAAGGTTTGATAGATATAGAGGTTGGAATTCAAATGTTAGAAGTTCAGAAAATGAGAGGATGGAAAATGAAGCGTAAAGGGGTTGAGGGGGAGACTGCTCAAACTACTCTTACCATTCCAACCTCAACTGAGCCTACTACAAGAGGGAAGAAGAGGAATGTAGGCATTGTTATATCAGAGGAAAAAGGGTTGATCAACAATTCTAGGAATACCAAGAAACAGAAGAACAGCTTACCTGAGATGGGGGCAGCCAGCCTTGAGTGGCCCCCAAAGGGGCAATGAAGCTCATCATATGGAACTGTAGAGGGTTGGGTGGACCCTCTACAGTTGCCCAAATTAAGGAGTCCTCCAGACTCATCCATCCCAATTATGTCTTTTTATCAGAAACCAAAAAGAAAACTCCATTTACTAAGTCAGTATGTAATAATATAGGGTTCAAGGGTAGATGGTATGCTGTAGAGCCCCAAGGCTTGAGTGGGGGCCTACTGGTTTTTTGGAGTTCAGAAGTGGTGGTGAAGCAAGTTCTTAGCAACCATTTCTGTATCCAACTACAAGTAGAAGGAATTGGGGAGGATGCTCCTATTTGGATAGTTTTTGTTTATGCAAGTTCAGACAAGCATGAAAGAATGATGCAGTGGGCATTTTTGGAAGCAACCAAATGTTCTTGGGGTAGGAAGTGGATTTTGAGGGGTGATTGGAATGAGATTTGTGCTCTAGATGAGAAGAAATGGGGAGGCAAAAGGCACCAGGAGAATTTAGTGGCTTTAACTCTTTCATTGCAAGGATGGGTATGTAAGAGCTTCAACTCACAGGCCATAACTTCACCTGGGAAAACTGCAGAAGTGAGGAAGGATACATTGAAGATAGAATTGATAAGATTTTTGCCTCCTTTGACTGGTTTGTTGATCATCAAAATGCAGAAGTCCATCAGGAGCTCTTCTGACCATCGACTGTTAGCCCTTAATGACAGTCCATATAGACAGGGACACAAAAATAGAAGGTTCTACGTTGATAAACGTTGGCTGAAAAGAGATGGCATCCAGGAGGTAGTGCAAGCAGGCTGGGGTGCAGAGCAAAATGGTACTCTCATGTATCAAATTTCTCAGAAAATAAAATCTACTAGACTTGCACTACTAAAATGGAGTTCCTCTTTTAGAAGAGGGCAATGGAAAGAAAGTAGAAAACAAT